TCAGTACACACATGTGTCACCTCTCTGGTCTCATCCATTCACTCAGTTCACTTTAGTTACACCAGCCGAATGCTCTTTACTCAGATAACCACATGACTCACTTCCCAACCTTCTCTGGTTTTAACTCAAATATCACCTGCACAATGAGGCTTACCTTGCCCATCCTATCTGCTTTGTTTTTCTTTTTTAATCACTATGCATGCACAGGTTTTTCTTATCTTATGTATCACCTATCTCCCCACAACTAGAGCATATGCTCTACAGAGACAGGGAACTTTGTCTTGTTCATTGCTGTGTCCAAGAATCTAGCAAAGGGCTTTATACATACACATGGACATATGGAGATATCTGGGGCAGGGAGAAAAGATTAAGAATCACTGCCCTATACCTATAAGTTCTAGCAAAATATCTCTAAGCAACACTTTGGGGAAGAGACTGCCTCTTCAGCAAATGGTGCTGGGGAAACTGGTTATCCATATGCAGAAGAATGAAACTAGAACCATACCTCTCACCATATACCAAAATCAACTCAAAATGGATTAAAGAATTAAATATACACCCTGAAACAATAAAACTCCTTAAAGAAAACATAGGGGAAACACTCCAGAAAGTAGGATTGGGTACAGACTTCATGAATATGACCCCAAAAGCACAGGAAACCAAAGAAAGGAACAATAAACAAATGGGATTATATCAAACTAAAAAGCTTCTGCACAGCAAAAGAAACAATTAACAGAGTTAAAAGACAACCAACAAAGTGGGAGAAAATATTTGCAAAATATACATCTGACAAAGGATTAATATCCAGAATACATAAGGAACTCAAACAACTTTACAGCAAAAAAACACGTAACCCAATTAAAAAATGAGCAAATGAGCTGAATAGACATTTCTTCTTTATTTTTTTTTCCTTTTTGTCCTTTTTCGTGACTGGCAACGGATCGCAACCCTCAGTGCTGCGCCCGTACTGGACCGGCAACGGGATCGCAACCCTCGGTATTGCGCCCGCAGCTCGCTCAGCCAGTGAGCCGCCGGTCTGTATGTGGGATCCGAACCCTCAGCAGGAGCGCCGCTGCACTCCCAAGCGGCGCACTGTAGCAGTGCGCCACTGGGCCGGCCCTGAATAGACATTTCTTAAAGGAAGATATACAAATGGCCAACAAACACACGAAAAAATACTCAGCATCACTCAGCATTCAGGAAATGCAAATCAAAACCACACTGAGAGGGCAGGCCAGTGGCTCACTTGGGAGAATGTGGTGCTGATAAGTAAGGCCAAGGGTTCGGATCCCTATATAGGGATGGCCGGTTGGGAGAGCGTGCAGCTGACAACATTAAGTCAAGGGTTAAGATCCCCTTACCGCTCAATAAATAAATAAACCACACTGAGATACCATCTCACTCCAGTTAGGATGGCTAATATCCAAAAGACTGAGAATGATAAATGCTGATGAGGTTGCAGAGAAAAAGGAACCCTCCTACACTGTTGGTGGGACTACAAAATGGTGCAGCCTTTATGGAAAAATGGTTTGGAGGTTCCTCAAACAATTACAGATAGATCTACCATATGACCCAGCTATTCCACTACTGGGAATATACCCAGAGGAATGGAAATCATCATGTCGAAGGGATACCTGTACTCCAATGTTCACTGAAGCACTATTTACAATAGCCAAGAATTGGAACCAGCCCAAATATCCAGCATCAGATGAGGGGATATGGAAAATGTGGTATATCTACACAATGGAATTCTACTCTGCTATAAAAAAGAATGAAATACTACCATTTGCAGCAACATGGATGGACTTAGAAAAAGTTATATTAAGTGAAATAAGTCAGGTACAGGAAGAGAAATACCATATGTTCTCACTTATTTGTGGAAGCTAAAAATAAATAAATACACAAACAAACTGGAGGGGAAGAAGACACAATCACAATTCCTTGAATTTAAGACAAGTGAACACAAGTGAACAGATATGATGTTGATGGGTGGGAGGGGGGAGAAGGAGGGGGAAGGGAGGAATCCGTAAAGGGACACGAAAATCAACTACATTGTATATTGATAAAATAAAAAAAAAAAAAATTACAAAAGTAGTTCATGTTTAATTAAAAAGATCAAGCTCTCTTCCTTAGCACCCCATTCTCCAGCACGATTATTGTTTTAGGTTTTATTATTACCATTCAAGGACCATTACATTCTATATATGCTAAAAACTAGGATGATACTAAACTGGTTTTGACACTCACTCTGTTAAACATCCTCACCTGTCAATTGCATAGATCTACCTCATTCTTCTGGCTGCATAGGACAATACACTACACTTGTACCATTATTTGCCATTTCTTTCACTGAAAAGAAAGGCTTGTTTCCAATGTCACTACTATAACAACGCAGCAATGAATATTCTTATATACATTTATATCTGTACATAAGTGCAAGGCCTAAAGTATATATACTTAACACTGAACAAATGTTGCCAAATTCACTTCCAATAAAGTTACACTTATTTATCCTCTCATAATCTTGCCCACCTAGGTGAAATCTTTAAAATATTTTCCCATCTAATAAATGAAATATGGTATTTCATTTTTAAAATTTACATTTCCATAATCACCAGTAGTATGAAGCATTTTTTGATATACTTATTAGCACCATCTGTATTTCTTCTTACGTGAACTATCTATTTTGTTTTTCTACTAAAATTTTCTAGTTCGTAGGAGTTTTTTGTGTATTAGAAATACTAGTTAACCAAGGTCAAATGTTCGGATCCCCATACCAGCCAGCTAGCAAACAAAATCAAAACGAAAAGAACAAAAAACGAAATGCTAGCTAAGAGCACAGGCTCGAGTCATAAAAACTTGAGTGCAAAAGCCTGCTTTCAGAATATGACTCAACCTCTGTGTCTCATTTATTATTTTTAGTTTCAAAAATTGTACTTTTAAACTAAGTACATATAGATATATAAAAGAGATCAAGAAACCAACACATATGTACGGTTATTTTGTAACTGCTAGGCCTATATTTGCGTCTGACGTCATTCAGAAAGAAAATATTTTTTCAGTCTTGTATAAAGTTGTACCTTTAGCCATATTTTAATTTATACTGTCTGCCTTATAATTTTGGTAGCTTTAGATTTATTAACATTGTCAACAAATTTTCATGTCGGTAACATTAGTAAAATCAATTTATGATCTTCATTTAAATTAAATCTACAAACTTATTTTTAATTTTAAATAGAGGGAAAAAAACTACTCTTACACTTACCATATACCACAAACCATATTTCATTAGCACGTGTATGGTAGAAATTTGTGGTAAGACTTTTAGGACTACTGAAATAAGGCAAAAAAGCCTCAAGCAAGAAATTTTTTTTTTAAGGAAGTTTCTTCTACCTATACTAATGACTTGCATTAGAGCTGATACTCTGTGTGGGGAAGGGAACCACACAAAAAGAGTAGCCTAATAAGTTGACCAAAATATAAATCCATAGGGAAAAAAGATATGATTCTTACTCAAAAATCACTGACAATTATTAGTGAATTATTATATCTCTAACTCGCTAACATTCCATGAGCTGTAAGTACACATATGCATATGTGTGTGTTTTAAAGTCCTTGATCAACTTCCTAACATTAGGTCTCAGACTGCCCAGGATATTCTTCTACTTTGTGTTTCCTCTACTTCTCAGCTTAGAGTACCCCAATTACGGCTCCATCTTCCCCCAAAGTTCTCTCCTACATGAATTTCTCTCCTACATGAATTTCTCTGTCACCTAATTCTGCCTGTTCACTCTCTTTTAGCAATTTCTCAGATTTAGTGATTTCTTGATATTTGTTTTTTTCCAGCACTGTTAGGAATTATTTTCTTACATGGGGTTTAGGAAAGATGATGATATTAATAAATGATCTCGATCAGTTATCTTGAACATAAAGTCTCAAAGAACACATCAAAACCAAATTCCCAACTTCTTTTTAATACTATGAAAGACGAAGTCCAAGTTGTAAATAACTGCAGAATAATTTTAGCCAATTGTCGGCCTTCTTTTATCAACCTTTTCTTCCCTACAAAGACTAGAATACACAATAGTGCATCCCTCCATGTGCCAGATGCTTTCTTTTCTATTATCTCGTTCAGTCTCACTAAATGGTATTATCCCTATTTGACAGATGAAGAAACTGGGGCTAAAAAGATTAAGATCATGTCAACACATAAGCAGTCAAATCAGATTTAAACCCAGGACTGCAGCTTCAGAGCCCATGTCCTTTCAATATACCTGCCTGCATTCCTGAGGGGCAAAGGGGCCACAGTCAAACCTTCTATCTCACCAGACATACCTTTCTACACTCCTGCCTCTCCATCGTGTTCCACTCCCTTTCCTGTCCTCTTGGTGTAAAAAATATCCAGAGAAAAATGAAACTCAACCATAATAGACAGTGACAAGAAAACAGCATTTGTAACTAGATGAGACTGTTCTTTCACACAAAGACCCTTAAAGAGCAGAACTTTTACCTTCTCAGCAAACATATTAGTTTTTCCTCTTTCAGTAAGATTATCAATCAGCACTATTTCCTGAGGCTTATAAATAGCAAACACAGACCTGGAAATCTACAGGTGATCTGACTTATGAAACCGCACAACTAAGTGATGATCACTAATGAGCCAAGACTATCCCTCCTATGTTCTGTCTCTGCTCAGATAGATACAGATTAAGGGGAAGCCACAGCCACCGCAGCTCTCACATCCAAAGACCTATAATTTCCATACTGTTCAACTCTCCAAAGCAAACAGTAAATATTTGTGGTCTTTCCAGTTTACAATGGTTGAAAATATTTTCAGTCCACATTAACTATGAAAGCCTAGTGTTAAATAAAAAGTTTCAAAGATTTCCCTGAGTGAAAATAACCTCTAACTCTGTATAGATGTGATGCTCCTACTAAACAAAACCCTGACAGTAAATAAAGTATATTAAATAGGCAGCAACTCAACATTTCCCTTTTACCTGAACCTGCTGTGGCTGCTGAACCTGAATCTGCTGTTCTTGCTGGGTTTGTGGCTGAACACTGGTGGTAACTGGACAGGCAAGTTCAAGCAAAGACCCAGCCACTTCGGTGCTGTCTGTGTAAATGCAATTCCCACCCTGTTGGTACACCATGGTAGTGGTGGCTGTCTGCTGGAACTCCTGAAGGGCTTCTGGCCCCTTAGAGGCCAGTGAGTCCAGAAATTCCTTCATCCTGTGTTGCGGGACAGACCGTGCCTTCACTCGGATGTACTCTTCAAAGGAGATGGTGTTCTCCAGAGAATTATTCATATTGCAGAGTCCTTAGAGTTCCTGGGGATAAAATAAATGAACAGAAGTCAAAATTATGTTATTGCTTTTATATCTTGAAATGTATAAAAGTAATCACCCTTGCATCAGAGTGGAATATTCGGGGCAGCTGTATACATCTGGAATCCAAAGTAATGTTTTATTAGACCACCTTATTTTTCAGTTAATAGTGCTTGAAAATTATTTCCATTAGCATTTCTTAAGTCAAACCATATCACACTGGGAAAAAAAAGCATGCTTAACAGTATTGAATGCAACAGGCTGAAGACACACTCCCCACCCCCCACCCCAGCATTAGGCCAATCCCACGTTCTCTGCAGAACCAAGCACTGGACAGTAAATGTCACATGCAAAACTGCTCTGTGACCATCACAAAAAGGACTACGAAGAAAGGAGGAGGAAGCTAGAAGGAGGGATTCCAACTGACATATTTTATTTCTACTGCCAAGTAGGTCCTGCAGGTATGCCACCTGACTGTGGCCAGACCCAAGAGACAGAGGACATGCTCTTCATCTCCTATGAGAAACACCAAAGATCCCATTCTGCCATCTCCCATGAGAAACACCAAAAATCCCATTTTGTCATGGTTTATTGGTTAAGAGCATGGACTCTGGAGCCAGAGTGCCTTAGTTCAAAGAACTCTACCTCTCCTTAGCTGTGTAACCTGGACAAGTCAGTTAGCCTTAGTTTTTTGTCTATAAAATGGGCATAAAATAGTACTTACCTCAGGGTTGATATGAGGATTAAATATATGTAAAGAACTTGGAAAAGTACCTGATACCTACACAGCACTATGTTAAGTGTTAACTAATATTATCAAAAAAATTGGGAGTAGGGAGTTAAATGGTGCCTTAAATAGCTAGATCACTACTAAAACCAATTCTTTTTTTTTTTTTTTTTTTTTAAAGATGACTGGAAAGGGGATCTTAACCCTTGACTTGGTGTTGTCAGCACCACGCTCTCCCAAGTGAGCTAACCGGCCATCCCTATATAGGGATCCGAACCCGTGGCCTTGGTGTTATCAGCACCACACTCTCCCAAGTGAGCCACGGGCAAGCCCTCAAAAACCAATTCTGGAAAAGTTTTTTATTGAGTATTTAGTTACCTTAAGAATTGACCTGCAGACGTGGACAGTAACTTTCAATTACTGGGGGACAACTGGGCAATCGATGGACTGCTGAATGGCATGTTACTGCCTTTGTATCAAACTCCCTTGATTAGCAGCACTCCCAGAACAAAAGTAGCAGCAGGATGAAAGAGTAACACAAACCAAGTGAATGTTTTTGCCAAAAAGGACTCTCAGTCAATCTCAAACGTCTGGAAAAGTGATTTGCTCCCTTGAGCCATCAGACTAGAGATACTAGTCTCTGTTTTACTGCCCAGATGCCCTGCCTTACGTTACAGATATGAGGTATGTGGGTAACCATTTCCTTTCTTCCACCTGGCTCTCAACTCCTGGCAGACAAGACTGGTCCTCTCGGAATAGCTCACACAGGGCAGGTGCTTTGTACATACCTGTTGCAACTTAGAATTCAATGTGAAAAAGGAAGAATTATGAATCCTTGTTCCTGTAACAACTCTAACTTACAACCATAAATTGTTACAACTAAAAATTGTACAACCTAGTAGAATACACTAGGGAAAAAGTGTATACTACTTCTAATAAATGATTTGTAAACACCTTGGGGAAAAAAACCTACTTATCTAGGGCAAGAGTGACACCAGAGAAAAAATAAGTTCTTTACTGCTATTAATTTACTGACACCAGCATTACATAGTATATAAATTATAACTGGGTACTTTCAAACAGAATAGATCCAGCAATGAATCTTTTATGACAATGCACATAATACATTGTGAATATATTTTGCCATAAATAAAGATATACCTTACCCTATCCGAAATCAGAATTCCCAGACCACTACCTTTAGGAGAACCTCCAATTCTCAGAAAACCCCAACTACAACAGAGTGCAGAGAACAGCTAGTGTAGGTCAGGGGGACACAAGGTGAAGCCATTACTGATGGCCTCTTGTCTTCTGAAACTTAACACTTTCCCACTTCTCTTCTGATCACTTCACTTTGTCCAGCTCTCCCTTTCTCTCTGCTGCAGAGGCTTTTAGTTTATCTCCTCTCAAAGTAGAAAATTAGGAGGTCTGATATGAGACTTCAAAATTAAGCTATCAGGGCCGGCCTGTGGCTCACTCGGGAGAGTGCGGTGCTGATAACACCAAGGGCCCGGGTTCGGATCCCATATAGGGATGGCCGGTTCGCTCACTGGCTGAGCGTGGTGCTGACAACACCAAGTCAAGGGTTAAGATCCCCTTACTGGTCATCTTTTAAAAAAAAAAAAAAATTAAGCTATCAATGATGTCCATCATACATGTAAGTAAGGAGAGCATCAACACCAGGTACACTGTCCTTCCATTACAGATTCAGAGTAGGCAATTCAGTGTGGTTGACCCACGGACACTTACTCACCACACTAGCACAGAATGTGTCATAGTTTCCTTTTGTTAACAGCATCACAGCTGGAATTTCTTTAAGAAGGCATCTCTTATAATAAAGACCCAATAATATTACAAAGTTTATAACATGCAACTCTAGTACCTAATCACATATACCCTTTGTTCAAAAAAGATTATATGGGCCGGGCCAGTGGCTCACTCGGGAGAGTGTGGTACTGATAGCGCTGAGGCCGCGGGTTCGGATCCGATATAGGGATGGCCGGTGTGCTCACTGGCTGAGCGTGGTGCAGACGACACCGAGCCAAGGGTTGCAATCCCCTTACTGGTTGGAAAAAAAAAAAAAAAAAAAAAGATTATATGATGGCACTTCAAAAAGTTCATGGAAGGCCAGTCTGTGGCTCACTTGGGAGAGTGTGGTGCTGATAACACCAAGGCCACAGGTTCGGATCCCTATATAGGGATGGCCAGTTAGCTCACTTGAGAGAGTACAGTGCTAACAACACCAAGTCAAGGGTTAAAATCCCCTTACTGGTCATCTTTAAAAAAAAAAAAAAAAAAGAGTTCATGGAAAGATTCCTATTTATCTTTAATTCTATTTTTCAATAAATTTTCTTAAGTACCCTGGTATGAGCAGCCATCAACAGGTCCTCTACCACGCTGGTACATATTTCAATTTTTCACCTCCATTATAAAAGAACAGTTCAGATCCCCGTCCTGGCCAGCCACAAAAAAAAAAAAAAAAAGAGTTCATGGAAAGATTCCTATTTATCTTTAATTCTATTTTTCAATAAATTTTCTTAAGTACCCTGGTATGAGCAGCCATCAACAGGTCCTCTACCACGCTGGTACATATTTCAATTTTTCACCTCCATTATAAAAGAACAGCAGAGGTCAATTGAAATTTACATTTCCTAAAATTTATTTTCTTCAACAATTAGTTGCATTCCCATAAAATACCAAGAGACTACTTGAATTTTCAAGATTGTCTGTGCTGGAATCATAGCTACTATTTCAAAGCAGTTTTTTTTAAAGTACAAGGAGACATGTGGCAAAAACTCTTTTTGCCTTAAATCTGGTATAATATGAGTAAATACCAATACAAAGAAACACTGAAAATTAAGTTTACAGAACTGAAAACGTTCGTACGAGTATTGCTTGGTACAGCCAGTCCCTAGGATCCCCCTAGTCACATTAGTTCCGTTCAGTCTTTCAAGTTTCAGAAATTCAGGAGGGGCAGTGTAAGCCTCATCTTAAGTCTGATATTAAGAGTGAAGGAGAATTTCATCAACTTTTTTTCCTAGAAACAAGCTTTATTCAGTAGAATTCCACCTAGTTCTTGGACGGTTTTTTTTGTGGTTTTCTGGGGTTTTTTGCAGGGGTGGGAGGGCAGGGATATAAAAGTGATATACCCATTTGTTTACAAAAAAAGTTTGAATAGTACAGGAAGGTATAAAATGAAAAGTAAAAACGGCTACGTACACTTTTACCTCTGGTTTTTTGTTGTTTTTTTTTTTTTAAAGATGACCAGTAAGGGGATCCCAACCCTTGACTTAGTGTTCCTTGACAACAGCCATTCCTATATAGGGATCTGAACCTGTGGCCTTGGTGTTATCAGCACCACACTCTCCCAAGTGAGCCACAGGCCGGCCCATACCTCTGGTTCTTGATCTACCAATTTTAAACATTTATCAGCTATGAAAAAGGTGAGTTTAGGGCATTTAAATCACACCCTCCTCTCATCAACCCTTGCCAATCACCTTTTTATATTTAGTTCTGTTATGATCACTTTCATACTTTTAATCATCTATTTGCAAACTCATTAATTTTAGAGTATCTCTGGACTTCCCACGATGTAAAATAGGAAATTAAAGTTCCATGCCCACTATTTTTGACAAACATTTAGCTGAGTATAGCTTCTGTTTAATCAATCTTTCATTTTTAAAAAATCTTTCTTCCTATACTTGTTTTTTAAATCCAATGTTCCAGCCTCTTCTGAGACCTTATTTTTTTTTAATTGTAACGTACTTGATTGTGCTTATCTGTGGGGTGGAGTTGAATATCATTACCTGTGTGCAATATGTGATGCTCAAATCAGGATAATTAGTAATATGTGAATAATTATAACATTCAACATTATACAATGTAATCGTTTTTCACGGCCCTTTACCAATTCTTCCCTTACTCCCACTTCCCAATCTTTCAGTTTTAGAATACAGTATTTCATACCAAATCAAACTTCAGAATATTCATTTGTAAATCAAGGTTCTGTGAGGGCTCAGAAAAGCAATACCCCAAAGTGAAGGTGTCAGAAGCAGCCTCAAACACAAACTTTTCCTCTGACCTTCTCCTGCCCTCAAGCCTCATTCTCCTGAGGCAAGCCACAGAAACTAGAATCCCTTTTCCCCAAGATGGGTCATAGAAACCAGAACCCCCTTTCTTCAAAGCCCCTACACTTCTAAATACCTTAAAACCACTCTACTGCCTCTTTCATCTCCAAACAAATCCTCCCTGTAATATTTCTAGAATAGTACCTTCAAAAAAAGTTAATACCAGAAACTCTAGTCCAAATATAAATTTGTTCCCTGAGCAAAAAGGGAAGTAAGTTGGATATCCAACTCTCAAAGAGAGATCTGCTATAAAGCATCAAAATTCATCCTTAAGCTTTCATAAAAAAAAAAAGCTTGAAGTAGGAAAAATTCTACAAAACTGCTAGAAAATGTTGATAAAGGTACATACACAGGTCTTCATATTTTCCATTCTTGTGAAAAAACATGAAATATTTACCTTTTTTTAAATGTTTTTATTGATTTTATTTAATGTTGCTTCACTCTTGTTAACCTATTTCACCTTTTTGTTAGTCACTAGCCATGTAGTATAAAACTCTCTGCAGTGCTCCAAGCTTAGAGCTAGCCATCTGTAGGTGGAGCTTCAAGCAGAAGCCACTGCTTCTTAAATGATGTTTTCTTTCAGTAAGCTCCCAGAGTTCTTCATTGACTATGTACAAGTCCACAGAATCATTTGAGAACCACTGAATCAAAGGTAGCTAAGAAATATTAACAAATAATGAATTCAATGGAGAACTTCAAAAAATATTTAATGGAAAAGATCAATTTGGTTTTTTTTGTCCTTTTTGTGACCTGTAAGGGATCGCAACCCTTGGCTTGGTGTCGCCCGCAACGCGCTCAGCCAGCGAGTGCACCGGCCATCCCTGTATAGGATCCGAACCCACTGCGGTAGCGCCGCTGTGCTCCCAGCGCCGCACTCTCCCGAGTGCGCCACGGGGTCGGCCCCGAAAAGATCAATTTGAAAGAGCATTTCAATCTGCCCATTTATACAGACTAAAACATAGAAGGCTTCAATTCTTGTTCTTTTAACCTACCCACCTGGCAGTATCCACCAAGCTGAAACATCCCAATAATGAAAGTTCACCAAGTTAGCATATGACCTGACACATAAGTGCTGCTTAAAAGAAAATAAAAAGCTTCAGAAATATATATAAAAGTCCTCCCTACCATAAGATCAGATCACCATTCATCTACAATTTTTTAGTTCTCAGTATATTTTATACAATTCTTTGATCCATTTAGAATTTATTTTGCATGGTGTGAGGTAAAAGTCTAATTTTATTTTATTTTTCAAAGACCAAACAACTTGTCTCTGTATCACTTAGAGAATTATTGAAATTCCTTTGCCCACCAACTTGAAAATCCACTGTTACCAAATCCATATAAATTAGGACTGCTTCTAAGCTTCACTGATTTTCCTATAAAGAGGTAGTTTTAAATAAGCATGTTAACATCTGCAAGATTCCTTGCCCCACCCCACACTCAAAGTTTTGGGTCATTTTTAATATTTAACGACATGGAAACACGTGTAAAAAAGGCAGCCAAGGCAACTGTATTTATATATATTGGGAAAAAAGTGTCAAAAAAGGCATCAGAATGCTAACGGCATCAGAATGCTAACAGCAATTATGCCTGGATGATGGAATCACAGAGGATTTAAGTGTCTTCCTGCTTAATACTCTCCTGTTTTTTCCACAAACTGTATTAAATTAAAAAGATAATTAGAAGGTCATCTTTTTCTGCACAGTGGTTATGCTGGAGTAACAGTAACTGACACAAACAATTCTCATTGATTCTAGTATGATTTTCCCACAAAACCTGAAACTCTTAAAGAAAAATAAAACAATCAAGTGCCAAAAACTTACATAATAATGAAGATTATTAACTTCTTCAAGATGCTGCTCACACAACACAAAGGCTGAGCCTTGGTAACAGATAAAGAGAAATGGAGAAACTTGATGAAACTACCCTCCATAACTCCAAAAAGACAAGATTTTTAATTAGCTCCAAAGACTTTGTGAGGAGCAATAAAGAAACTAATTAGAGGGCCGCCCCGGTGGCGCACTGCTACAGTGCGCTGCTTGGGAAGTGCAGCGGCGCTCCCGCCGAGGGTTCGGATCCCACATACAGACCGGCCGCTCACTGGCTGAGCGAGGTGCGGGGGCAACACCGAGGGTTGCGATTCCGTTGCCGGTCCTGGTCCGGTACGGGCGCGACACTGAGGGTTGCGATCCGTTGCCGGTCACAAAAAAAGAGACAAAAAGGAAAAAAAATATATATATATATATGAAGCTGTAGGGATACATTAATGGTCCCTATTTTGGGGAGTCAGATGAGATTAATAATGGAAAAAGAGAAAAATACTCTGGTGCTCATGGGGAATAGGGGGTTGGCAAATAATCATCTCCTTCTAAATACTTCAAGTATAACTGCTTTACAAAACAATAAAGAAAAACCAGATTTTCACTGGTTTTCCCAGATTAATCACTAACATCTCCCCTGTACTTCCTACTACTGGAATTTAGCACAGTGCCTGACACAGAGCAATCTCTCAACACATACATGAGTTGTTATTTTTATTATTTTACCACTAGAACACAAGATGGTACCACGGACAAAGGTTACTCCAAAACAACCATCTATTACATTTCCAAAGGTCTGTTTGCTAATTTCTTTCTTTTTTCCTTTAGGTACTAAAGGAAAATCTAAGTACTGTACTTACTGGAATCACCCCTTCTTAGGTCTCTTATCTCTGACACCTCTTCCAGGCTTGCCATACAGCTCTGCAGAGTGGGTCTTGAATATGAGATGGACTAAGACAAAACAGTCTGAGCTACCTCAGAGCCCTGCTTCTTCCTTGGGCCTTGATCCCCTCTCAAGGTTCACATCTATTCTAGCAATGGCTTCTCATAGCTTAGTAAGTCTGATCTGAAGAACACATTTACATGCAGAAAAAAAACAAAACATTGAAATTTCCATTTCAAGGAGTTACAGTCATATTTGTCCTGATCAACATAAGGAGTCATTTCAAAGAAGCAGAGTGGAAGACATATTTCTATTCTTAAAGCTACTAGGCTGGTTAGTTAATTGGTTGGAGCATGGTATGGATAACACCAAGGTCAAGTGTTCAGATCTCCTTATCTGCCAGCCACCCCCCGCCTGCCCCGCCCCAAAAGCTACTAATCACTAGAGAGTTTGTAATAGAAACTATTCCATTGGGTAGGGCCAGCCCATGGCTCACTTGGGAGAGTATGATGCTGGTAACACCAAGGCCACAGGTTCGGATCTCTATATAAGGATGGCCGGTTAGCTCACTTGGGAGAGCGTGGTGCTAATAACACCAAGTCAAGAGTTAAGAGCCCCTTACCAGTCATCTTTTAAAAAAAGGAAAAAAAAGAAACTACCCCACTGGGCCATTCATCTGTTCCTATGCCTTTACAGGAGTCCCTGTAAAGGAGTTTCATCATATTTCTATTTTTAGACAACACACACTTTCAACCAGAAACTTAAAATTCATATTCTTATCAAATATTGATGGGCTGTAAATTGGCACAACCACTTGCATTAACTAGTGAAGCTGAAAATATTCAGTCCACAAAACTCAGCAATTCTACTCCTAAGTGTGTACGAGGGTACTTATACAAGAATATCCATAGCAGCAGTGTTAATAACCAAAAACTGAAAGCAACCTAGATATCCACCACTAGTGGAATGAATATGTAAATTATGGTATATTCGTACAAACAGAGTACTACATAGAAATGGGAATGAACCACAGTTGCACACATGGCCAAATTTCAGAAACATAACATTAAAAGAAGACAAAATAATACAGTATGATTCCATTTATATAAAATTCAAAAGCAAGCAAAACTATGTTGTTGAGGGATATAAAAGTGTTAAACATAAAAAGAAAAACAATGTGATTATCACAGAAGTGAAAACAGCAGTTGTCTCCAGGGGTTGAAAAGCTGGGACCAGGAAGGGACCCATAAAGCATTCAGGGGTGCTGGCATTGTTCTATTTCTTGAAAAAGTAGTAGTTACACCGAGGTTCACTTCATAATTTTTTATTAAATTGTATACAGATCAACTGAATTTATAGATAAATATTTCATAAATTTAAGAAAAGAAAAAAAAAATCAGCTTTCTGACACAGCCCAGAACTCTTACAGTTCTGCCCTGGCTTAAAAAGTGAGACAAAAGAACCACTCCTTTAAGCAAAGAAATTACCATTTCTTCAAGCAGCCACTTCAGTTTAATAACAGAAATCACAATCTAACATGACAATTGGGGGGGAGGGAACAAAACAAAGCATTTAAGAGAAAGCCTGAAGAGGACTTAAAACATCTGGAACAAAATGAAGGGCAACAGAAAAGAACCCATATTCGTGTAACACCTCATTCTGAGGCTAACTCAAAAATAAAAGGCCCTCACAGATGAAGGATGGCCCTGCAAAAAGCAGATGAGCAAGAAGCATAGCACATCAAGAACAAACTACAAATGATTAAATTAAAAGAAAGCACGCAAGCTTAAAGGAAGACATCCCTGATTCTGAAGCTAGCATAAAGGAGGACAGTCACACCCAGGGCCCCTGATTTATTGGTTACTTTTTTGGAACACTTCAAATTTATACGAAAATTCAACCATTATTTGATCTTTTGTTTGAAATGACAACGTCAGCTGGAAAGGAGATGTGGAACTGCAGAAGTTCACAGAGAGGTAACACATAATTCATAACAGAGGACTAGAAGTAGGACACCTACTGTGTAAATCTTAGTTCATGAGCTTATGGAAATATTACTTACACCAATTTAAAAGGAAGATCTCACACTTAGTAGCTAAAAACAAAGCCAATCCAGAACAAGCAGGACTAAGAGGTATATTAAAATTATAAGTGTATCCTAGATAAACTTGACTGCTTTTCTTTGAACCATTTAGGTCCTTAGAAAAGCTGATGCCTGGCCATGCTAAAACCTGCACGTTTCTTAACTTAAAGAAAAACTGTCCAAGCAGCAAACTGTGGCTGGAATTCAAAGATGCATATCTTCAATTTTCCAGCACCTAGCAGTTTCTGGCAGACAGCATCCCGAATGATTGAGAGGATTTGTAATGTTTCAATATCACCAGAACAAACTGTGCACACATACTTCCAGCATATGAACATTTTAACTCACCAGTCACCATGTTGCATGTATTTCTGCTGCTTGTCCTGAGTTCTTAAGACTTCTAACATTCTGAAGAAGATAGAACAAAGAAGTTCCTTCCATCTTCAGCCTCTTTAAGTTTTAACTTTATTATTAAAAAATACAGTATATTAAAAAGAACTAACCCATCATCACATTTGATTGCTAATTTTAATTCCCCTTAAGCTTCCTTTTCCTTAAACTTAATAAAGCAAGACTGTAAAACATAAAGTAGCAGATATTTTGTCTTAGAAAAAAGAGGTGCATATTTCTGTAGGACAAACCTAGAACTCCCTTGGCACCAGAACACAGTGCTGGAGTGGAAAAAAAGCTAAAAAGAATTGAAATCCCAAATAAAATGTGACTTTTATAGTGATACACAGATAGTTTTGGGGAAAATTTGGAATAATAATAATAAAAAGGCAAAGCATTGATTTTCAGGTTGTTCAATTTTGTTCTAAGCAACTTTTTCACTGAGGCAACAACGGGCCCTTAGTCTAACAGACTAAAGTCCCTCCCACCCACGCAGAAGAAAATGCTGCATTTAGGGATTTAAAACGGCACTTTAAAGCTTGGAGAGTTTCACATCGTTCACATAAGATCCCCTTCTGGAGTGAACAGAGGTGCCTTTTATTAGCTGCCCTTATGGAAGAATTAGTTTCTAATAAAAGGAAAGTAGGTACTACTGAAGGGCCTTCTAATGTTAATAACCTTCTCCCCTAGGCACAAAGCAACAGCACAAGATGAGGAAACCCGAAGGGGGGCTCGCTGCCCTCTCAGGCCAACAGGACTCAGTTTCCGAAGCAGGGCAGCACCCTCCCCAAGAAGCCACCCCGTACGTGGGCCTCGGGTAACATCATTCTTCAAGAAGAGCGGGAATCTCGCCCTCCCCGCGGAGGTGTGGAGCTGCAAGACAGATAGCAAAGCCGGTTGTTTTCTCCCCAGGCCTAGGCCACGAACGCCCAGGGACGTCACCAGAGCAGGAAGGACCCAACCAACAACCTTCCCCTCGCTGAGGCGCCCGCCGGCTCGCCTGCCGCCTCTCGGCTCAGCGGGGGTGTCCTGCGCGCTCTCCAGGCGGCATCGCCACCCAACAGCTGGGCGCGCGCCCCAGAACTGGGGGGGGTCGCGGGCCGGCACGCGCCCCAGAATACCGCTCTTGCCCAGCGGCCAAAGCTTCGAGAGCCGATATCCGGACCGGGAACGCGCACGTCGGCGGCCACGCGCACTGGAAGAGTCGTACAGCGCGCGCGCCCCCGCGCGTAAAAACAGGCTGGGCCGCGCGCCCACGGCAGCGCGCGCTCGCGCGCCGCGCCCACCCGAATACCCGGTCCGCCCCTCCCCCACCCACGGGGCGGGGGCGCGGGACTCCAGGGACGTTCTCGGCTCCGGAATCGCCCCGAAGTCTTCGGGGCCCACCGGCAGAGAACCGTCCGCCCCCGCCCGCCGTTGTGTGAGGTGGGCCCGCTGTCCCAGGCCCGCAGCCTTGCCGCATCCTCGCCCCCACCGGAGCCCTCACCCGGCGACGTCACCGCCGCCTCCGCTAGACCCGCCGGCCCCGCCGCACAGTCCGGGGCCCCGGTTCTGCCGTCGCTGCTCCCAGACCGACAGGATTTTCTCCTCACAGCTCCCTGAGCGCCATCTTACATTCAACCCGCACAGCCAATAGGTGCCGAATGCCCTTCTCGCGAGAATTGGAGCACCGGATCCCGCGAGAGCTGGTACTGCCTCCCAGCCAGACTTAAAGGGAACGCTTCAGTCGGGGAGGGAGGCCGCGCCTCCGGCTGCTGGCACCGAGAAAGGAGCGCAGGGTGTGGGGCGGGTCGCCCCGCCCACCGACGCCCCTTCATGAGGGGCGGAGCCAGGGCTGGGGCTCGGCCTAGCAGTGGGTCCTGGGCAGGCTGGGGCTCTAAACTCGCTCTGTGGACCCACCTTCCGGCAGTCTGCCTGAGCCTCCTTTGGTCGCGAAGCCCCACGCGGGGCGGAGCCGGGCCCTGCTCGGCCTCTCGCTTAAGGTGGCCCCCACAACCCCTGACCTGGTCCCGGCGTCCCCAGCCGTGCCTCACCTGAGAAGTCCCTGGGTCACCCATCTCCTGGAGAACCTAACCTCTGGGACCTCCACCATCTGCTGCCATCTGAGTTCGGCCTTCCGCCGTCAGGTCCACCTTAAAGCGGGCCTCGGGTAGCCTGGTGTTTGTATACAGGGAAAATGTGGAAGGCATTAAAGCTGCAGGCACATGCAGGCCTCAACAGCAGCCCATACTTCCCGAGAGCGACCAGCCTGCCATAGACCCTTATTGTTTCCAGGCCTTTGCACTTATTCCCCTTGTCCGGGCAAATTCTCCCTAGTCCTTTGGGACTCCCTTCAGAAGTCACTTTCTGAGAGTCCTCTTTTCTAAGGGACATTTTGGGTCAGAAACCCCTTCCAGCCTTGCACAAGCCCCAGGGAGTCCTCTCCCACATAGTGCTTGGCCACCCAGGTCTCCCCTCCCTTAGGTGGTGAACTTGGAAAGCCACTGCAGCATATATGCCTCATCTCACTGTGCCTGGCACATAGTAGGCACTGAATAATTGTTTGCTAAACGATCACACTGGGAGCCAGGCTTTTCTTCATCTTTAAGCAGGTAGACACAAACCCTCTAAATCCCTCTGCCCCAGAAACAGCATCCTAGGGTCCTCCATTCCCTCAGACCAGGTACAGAGTATATTAATCCCGCCCAAGCCCCTCCCCTTGAGCACCAGTGGTTTCAACTGTCCGCTCTATTCTGGGGAAACTCATTCTCACAAACAAAATGTGCTCAAGGCACATTTCCACACACAAACAGCATGTCTCCAGGGCCCTCAGATGCTAGAAGGACAGATAACACATAGACTGCAGAGAGGATTTAGCTGTTCTTTATTAACATGGAGTTTGGGGTGGTGAGGGCACCCCCAACCTCCAGGAGGATGAGGTAGGTTCACAGTGCTTCCAGCTCACACCTTTCTCGGGTCCTCCTTCAGTGTGACAGTTCGGTTGAAGACAAGCTGGAGGGCAGAGGGAGAAGAATGACCACCAATCTGGAACCAGGCCAGGAGGCCTGGGTAAGTTGCACCATAGACACCTCCCCATAACTCCCTCCTTGGTCCCTCAGAGAAGGACCAAGGGTAAGGAGACTTAGGTTCTCAATAACTTTGTGACTTTGGGTAAGGGACTGGATGGCTCTGGTCCTCAGTTTCATAAGGAATATAACAACCCCTATGCCTACCTCCTACTGAGGAGTAAGGAAGGCAGATTCTATACAAAATTTTGTGTATGGACCTAACCTCTAAGCCAGTTTCCTCATGAATAGAATATAAATGCCATCCCCACCCCCTACCTCAGGTGGTGATGAATAACTAAGGGAATACAGCCAGAGTGCTTGGTGCAGTGAATGGCAGCCACCGTTACTGCTGTGGAAAGGGGCAGGTGGGTAAAGTCAAGCACCTGTCCCTGGCAGCTGTCTGGATCCACAGAGAAGTACCCAAGGCGCTCAAACTGGAACTTATCGAAAGGCTTTGCCAGGGCCACAGAGCAGTCCACTAACGCTGCCTCCACCACTTGTAATGACACCTGCAAAAGGGGACTCAGGCAGCCATCCAGCCAGGAAGGCCCACCACCCTCACCCCACACCCCATGAGCCTACCGGGTTCAGGTCACTTAAGAATCCACCAGGCACCTCAGTGGGATCTTCAGGATTCTTGTGCTGGAATCTATAGGCAGAGTGAAAGTCAGACCCCCAGCTGGGCAGCCACAGCAGGCAATGCCCATCTTGTACCTGCTCCCACCCCAGCTCTGTTCACTCACAGTCGCTCATAGAGGCGAATCTCACATATCAAAGGCTGTGACACCCAGTGAATAAAAGCCTTGGGCTTTTCTCCAGCATCTGCCTGTCTGCAGGTCACCTCCAGGCCCTCCACACAGCCACTGGGGCCCTGAAAGTGGGGGAAGGGGGTGCTGCAATGAGACTTGGGAACAACCACCAGGACTGCAGGCTAGACTTTAATCCTGGCCCCAGCAGGCAATGCAGTATGAAGAATGCAGCTGGCTCTCACCTTGACAACATGCTGCAGCTCAATGACATAGCCTGTATGCCTCAGGCCCACAGGCTGGCCCCAAGCCAGGCGCTTATAGCCTGGCTCTGGCTCCTAGAGGTAGGAAGTGGGGTGGACACAAGGGGCTGCAAAGGTTAGGCAAGTATGAGAGGCTTCTCCCCCACCCCCATGTCTGGCAGGGGTTGGTTCATCAGAAGGAAAATGTACATGAACTGACAGAAGGGATGAGGAGATAAAAGGACCCCAGGACCATACTCAGCAGCAAACAGGACCCTCTACCCCCATCATTCACCTCCTTGAAGTCAGTCCTCTCAATGAAGACAACGGGTGCAAAGGGAACCTGATGGAAGCCCTTGGTCTCATCAGCTGGGAAGTTGGGGACCTGGATGTCCAAGGACTACAGCAGGAGACAGGTATCTGAGTCATGCCAGGACTCATACTCAGGCCCAGGTGTACATACACACACACAAACACTCTGAGGCCGGCCCACCTTGGCAGCAGGAAAGTTGGTGATGATGACCCGCAGTGACTCCAGCACAGCCATGGCCCGTGGGGCAGTGTCATTCAGCACATCACGCACACAGGCTTCTAGAAGATGTGGCTCCATCGTGGTCTGTGCCACTGTCACCCCCACCTGGCAGAAAAGTTACCATCAGTTACAGCCACAAGCACAAACTGCTGCTCTCAGCCCCCATCTGCCCATGCAACCCACTGGGCTTTACCCGGGCACAAAAGTTGTTGATGGCCTCAGGTGGGAAGCCCCGCCGTCGTAGGGCTGTGAGTGTGAAGAGCCGTGGATCATCCCAGTCCCTGTGGATAAGCATGTGGTGAGAAGGCCTTTGGCAGCACATGCCACTAGTACCACCAACTTTTGATGAGCCAACAGCCACACTTACCGCACAGCACCAGCTGCTACAAGCTGGAGGATCTTCCTCTTAGAGACAACGGCATAGTGCAGGTTGAGGCGGCCATACTCCCACTGCACAGGGCAATAGACATCCAGTGCGTTGCACAGCCAAAAGTAAGAAGAGCGTCTGGGGTGGGAGAGTAGGGTTAGGATGGCCACCTCTGGGACAAAGGAGAGACCACAGGAAGGGCTGCTGGAATCCCACTGGCCCTACCCACCCCATGGGCCCAGCTTCCTCACCGTGCCTGGAATTCCTTGGTGCAGAGTGAGTGGGTGATGTGCTCGATGGAATCACAGAGGCAGTGTGTGTAGTCGTAGGTGGGGTAGATACACCTGTGGGGCATAGGCAGTGGGCCCCACCATCCAGCCCAACTCTGTCCTACCCATCTAAGGCCCACTGCCCTGCTCCACAGCCCTGCCAACCCACCATATGCCCACACCCACCAGCTGTCCTCCGTGCGGTGGTGAGGTGTATACTTGATTCGATAGGCCACAGGATCCATCTTGCCATCCTCCATCACTAGCTTCATCCGCAGCGTGGCCTCACCCTCTGAAAACTTACCCTTGCGCATTGCCTAGGGGGAGCAAGGGCTCAGCCTACCTCTAAGCACAGAGGCATCTCATCCTCAGCATCTTGGCCCACTCAAACCTAGCTGAGCCTCCACACCCCACCTCAAAAAGCAGCAGCGATTCCTTCACAGGACGGTCCCTCCAGGGCGAGGGCAGAGAGTTGTGGCCTTTGAGCTCCTCCCCTCGCTGGTGGCACACATAAGCCTGACCCCTGTGGGGAAGGGATGTGAGTGCACAGCATGGCCGTGACCTGGTCAGCCTGCTTGGCTCTATGTCATGGCCCTGGCCTCACCTGCGGATAAGCTCCACAGCCCAGGCATACAGCTGGTCGAA